CATTCTGAGATTTTGCATGTTCTCACATTTGTCAATCTTCTGAGTGAACTGATACATTTAGAGACACTATCTGATCTTTGCTGGCCTTGGGGTTTAATTTCATCTGCATTTTGACAAGTGACTGGACTGAAATCCTATTTGCATAGTTTTATCGCCTCCTTTAACTGATTTATAGTAAATGAGTTAAAGGTTACAGTCAATAAACAAAGTTAATGTGAGTGCATTAATCAAGCTGCTCAATATAATGTTCAAAGGAAGTTAAACCAACATCACTGAGGATGGTATCCAGAAATCTGACCTCATGTAGTGCAGCACAGATTCACAGAAATATAAAAATATTAGTAGGCCATTTGACCTTTCAGCTTGCTGTACCATTCAAGATGATCATGGCTGATCATACAACTCAGTACCCTGTTCGGACTTTTTCCCCATACACGTTGATCCCATTAGTCCTAAGATCTATATCGAATTCCTTCTTAGAAACATGCAATGTTTTGGCCTCAGCTGCTTTCAGAGAATTCAACAGGCTCACCACTGTCTGGGTGAAAGAATCTCTCCTCACCTCTGAATTAAGTAGTCTACCCTGTATCCTTAAAGTGTATGCAGCTCAACAGTTTATCTGAAGAATATTCTAACATTGCTGATTGGGCTTTTGTGGGCTTGTATATATGGAATCACAATTGTGGGATGTCTGGCCTTCAGGTGGAGTTCGAGATTGGGGATGGTCATATCAGGGAATGCTGATGTAGTTCAGTCCCTATATTAAAGATCCTTTTTGTTCTAAGTTTTATACTTTCATTATAAATTATTGGGACCATATTTGTAATCGGTACTGCTAACTTAAATTCAACACTCTAAGTGCATCAGTCATCTCATCCCTGAGTCAGAATGACACAGCAGATACTTCACTGATGGAGCATCATCTTTCTGATGAGTTGTCTGGTCTCCCAGGTGGATGTAGATTATCTGACAGGAGCTTTTTAAAGAAGACCAGAAGAGTTATCCTCCTTGTTCTGGCTAATTTGTCCCTCAACTAACATCCAAAAGCAAATCTATCTAGTCATTATTACATTTAATTTCTCAAAAGATCTTGTGTGCTAATTTGGCTACCAGGTTTCCTACTTTAGGTCAGTGACTGTACTTCGCGAGCATGTCAATGATTGCAGAGTACTTTGTGCAATCCTCAGTTTGTGACAGTCACTTTGTAAATTCAAATCATTCTCTTAATCATAGAGTCCTAAAGCACGGAAACAGACCTCCAGTCCAATCAGTCCATTCAACCATAAGCCGAAACTAAACTAGTCCCACCTGACTGCACTTGGCCCATATCCCTCCAAACATTTTTCATTCATAGAGTCATCCTTAAATACCACTTGGTTGAGCAATGTTGGCTCAAGAATGGAAGCTAGTGAACAGCAGCATCTTGGACAGGTAATCATGTGTGACTTGTTGAGACTAAAATTGTAGAACAGAACAATGAAGGCCAAATATAACCTGGTGGAGCTGGAGGAACACAGCAGGCCAGGCAGCATCAGAGGAGTGGGAAAGCTGATGTTTTGCGTCGGGACCCTTCTTCAGAAGAAGTCTTGAACCAAAACGTCGGCTTTCCTGCTCCTCTGCTGCCTGGCCTGCTGTGTCCCTCCAGCTCTACACTGTGTTATCTCTGACTCTAGCATTGGCAGTTCTTACTATCTCTGAATGAAGGGCAAATATTCTAATTCAGCAAATCACTAAGTGGGTTAATGCCTGTCTACATTTAGTGTTCAGAGAACTAGAGTGATGAGCATGTTAAACATTATCTTGCGATATCCGCTGATTGTTGGATCGCAAGTTTATTATTTATTTTAAAAATGTTATTTATTTAAAAATTAATCATACTTAGTCTCACTCCAGAGTTACAAGCAGAATCCAGCCCTCCCATCTCCCCCTGTCTTGTCTGGTTTTGCTAGAAAGAGATGATGGAATGCATGGAGTATAATTGGGAGCTTATTAGCATAAGTGAAAGTACAGCAAGATGCGTTCAGTAGGAGCATGTTAAAACTTAATATCTGCTGATAGAGTGCTTTGCCTTACAAGTTTGCAGCAGCAAAAGAAAAGATAATGAATATTTAATTCAGCTACTGGCAGTATACAAGTAGTTTTGTACAGCAGACAGAGTGGTGAAAAAAATAATTCATTCCAGTTCTGCAAAAAAGGGTGAGTTAAATTTATGTACAAAAACCTCTTCATTTCATTGAATTTTCACGCCATCTTGTTTGTTGCAGAGGATTTTTTTTAAACTTTCTAAAAGCTATAAAAAATGAAAACTGGACTTTAGCCACCACATCAGATTCTTAAACATAAACTGAGAGTACACAGCTGCTTTCAACATGCTACCCTCCTTCACAGAAACACACTCACCAGGGTGGAAAGATTTTATTTACTTGGCAGAATTTAATTGCATTAGGACCTTTGTACAGGTTTCATTTTAAGTAACATTGACTTAATCAATGTTAAAGGCTCAAAGACTTGGACAAAAATGTTTCTCAGTGAACGACTTTTGAACAATGAAGGGGAAAGCTAGGTAATAATTAGATCTCTGCTGTTGTCTACCAATTAAGTCTTGTAACCTTGCACTTTTGTGTGAAAGTGTACTGCAAAAGAGAATGTTAGAAGCCAATATTCTTTTTCACCCTTAGTCAACTTCACAAAAACATACAATCCTTTCATTACCACTTTGTTGTTCTTACTGGGAGTTTCTTGACCAGAAATTAGCTACCACAATTCCTATACTATCCTAGTGACTACACCTCAAATGTACTTCGGGGCAGCACGGTGGCTCAGTGGTTAGCACTGCTGCCTCACAGCACCAAGGACCCAGGTTCAATTCCAGCCTCAGGTGACTGTGTGGAGTTTGCACATTCTCCCGGAGTTTGCTGGGTGCTCTGGTTTCCTCCCACAGTGCAAAGATGTGCAGGCTAGGGTGGATTGGCCATGTTAAATTACCCCATAGTGTTCAGGGATGTGCCGGCTGGGTGGGTTAGCCATGAGAAATGCAGGGTTACAGGAATAGGGCAGGGGGATGGACTTAGGTGGGATGCTGTTCGGAGGATTGCTGTGGACTTAATGGGCCAAATGACCTGCCTTCATACTGTAGGGATTTTATGATTCTGTAAAGCACTTGAGACGTCCCACGATTGTGAAAGTGCTATATAAATGAAAGGTTTTCCTTAGTTTATCAAGGGCATGACTGGCAAACTGTTCAGATCTTTTCTACAGCTTCCTGAGTTTATAAAACTCCATGCTTTTCACAAATTTGAACATTGAAACAGAGAAAGTTTGACAAAAGGAAGTGAGGTTTTATAAACAGGAAATGCAGACATAAGATTTCAGGCATTTTAAACCAGTGTTTCAAAGTGCAAGGCACCTACTCCTCTCCACCAACCTGACAATGATGAAAATTGCCAGTGTGTAAAATAACAGCTCGCCTTGCAGCCAGGTATGGTCTCACCTACTTTGCTTGCCAGGCTTCAGTTCAGACCCTAGTCCTAAATGATATTCATCAGTTGAATGCATAGTTACTAAATGACCAATTGGTTACTCTGTCACTGTTAGCACACAGGGAAATACTGACAGCATACTGTGAGTAACAAAAACAAAGTTGCTGGAAAAGCTCAGCAGGTCTGTCACCATCTGTGGAGGAGAAAACAGAGTTAATGTTTCAGGTCCAGTGACCCTTCCTCAGAACTGATGGTGGCTGGGAAAACGTCAGTTTTCATGCAGAAAATAGGAAGGTGGGTGGGGTAGGGAGTAAACGGTAGGATAGAGCCCAAAGAGAGAGAAAGACAGTTGGACAGACAAAGGAGTTACTAACGATCAGGCTGGGAGGGTGAATAGTTGTTAATGCGGACTGTTAGTGACTAACAACAGGGGGTGTGTAATGGCAGGCTATGTGGTAACAAGGCCTGGTGTGTGGGGTGGGGGGCTGGGACATGGGAGAGTTTAGGCCCTAAAATTATTGAACTCAATATGGAGTCCGGAGGGCTGTAGGGTCCCCAAGCGGAAAATGAGGTGTTGTTCCTCCAGCTTGTGCTGGGCTTCACTGGAACACTGTAGCAAGCCAGAGACAGAGATGTTGGCCAGGGAGCAGGGTGGTGCATTGAAGTGGCAGGCAACAGGTAGTTCAGGGTCTTTTTTGCGAGCAGAACGTAGATGTTCTGCGAAGCAGTCGCCAAGTCTACGCTTCATTTCCCCGATGTAGATGAGACCACATTATGAGCAGCGAATGCAGTAGACTAGATTCTTCGAAGTGCAGCTGAGGTGTTGCTTCACCTGGAAGGTATGTTTGGACCCTTGGATACTGTGGACGGAGGAGGTAAATGTGCAGGTGTTGCACCTTCGCCGGTTACAGGGGAAGGTGCTGTAGGGCTGTGGGGAGGTGTTGGGGGTGAAGGAAGTATGGACCAGGGTGTCCCGGAGGAAACAGTCCCTGCGGAAGGCGGACAAGGGAGGGGACAGGAATATGTGTCTGGTGGTGGCATCTTGCTGGAGTTGGCGGAAATGGCGTCTGATGATAGTGTCAGTGGTGAGCAATTAAACTGGCAGTGGAAACTGTCTGTTGAATTGTTGCATCTATCATGGAATGTCACAGGGCAGGAAGCCTCATGCCTTGTTTGTGATGGGATAAGTGACTTGTTTATGACTGTAACTGTTTTAAATTTGTTACTTGCTCAGTTGACTGGGCAGATTTGCTGTGTGCTGTGTACATGATGGTGCGTCAGAACAACCCAGTGTCATTTCTGCCTGTATCTTTTTCCTCTTTGCATCCAGGGAAGTGATTGTTCTTCATTCGCCGTGCCTCCATTGCTAAAATTCCAAAGCTGTCTTTTTTTTTTAAGGGGACCGAGTCACAAAAACTCCTTTTGGAATTAGCCATTTGGAAACACAGGTGAGAATTTTTTTGGGGAAAGACTAATGAATAAGTTTTTTTCAGCATCTGACTTTTGTTTTCTTTCTCGCAGGCTAATGAAACATTTGCCTTTGTTGGGAATGTTACACACTATGCCAGAGTCTGGCTGAACATTTCCTCAGAAATCCGCACATTCCTGGAAGAAGGCAGGCTCCAGAATCGCATCAGCTGGCTACAGCAGGTGGGTACAGCTGTACACTGAATTACTTTGTAACACAGCAAGGTCTTTGAAACCGCAAGTGCAAATAAGATCCATTGATTTTTCTCCGCATTTCTGTCAAATGGTGACTGAAAAGCAATTGTTATAATCCTTTCAGTGAGTTGTCTGCTAGGGAATTGAGGTGATAGCAATTTTTATAATGACTTGAAAGGCATTAATATAACATACCATCACAAATCACCTGCCTCAGTAACGAAAACAGAAGTTGCTGGAAAAGCTCAGCAGGTCTGGCAGGCTGACGAAGGGTGGCTGGACTCGAAGCGTTTACTCTGATTTTTTTTCTTCACAGATGCTGCCAGACCTGCTGAGCTTTTCCAGCAACTTCTGCTTTTGTTCCTGATTTACAGCATCCACAGATCTTTCAGTTTTCACTTGTCTCAGTGTTTGAATTAGCTGGAACTCATCAGACTGCGTCGAGTGAATGAATAAATCCTTTCACCAACAGAAATCTATTTAGAAGAAGTGGAATTCTGTTATCCATTAGCATGATCAGAAGAGTTGCATATTGCGGGTTTGGTTGGCGTAAAAATGTAAATCAGTATGGAGAAAATAATCACAAGAAAATTTGCATTAGTCTAAGTGCATATTTGAAAGCACATTGATTTCTCTTACATTTCACTAGATTACTTTACAGTGAGGAGAGGATCTCAAAACCAAAGGCTGTTATCTGCTACTTACAATGATTGCTGCAAGATCTTAAATTTTAAGTTATAAATGTTTCCTTGCTTTCAGTTTCCGTTTCATTCCAAGTAGTGAAATCTTGGGAGAGAACACATTAAAAGACACCAGCAACCATCCAGTACTTGACCTGTCACTTGGCCTGTCTTGATGTTGAGAATGGGTGAACTGGGGATACTGTGACTAAACCTTCCGCAGTTGTGACGGATGTTCACTTGCAATTGCAAATCCTTATCTGTTTTACATATGGCCATATTTGCAAGTGTCCTGAACGACTACTGCCACCTCCGACCACCACCACCGGAGAATCCTCAGCAATACTATCATACTCTCAGTAAGCGTGCACATACTCTCATAACTTCCAAAAAGTATTACCCAAAACGAACAGCCCAACTCCTGTCTGGTTCAGTCTCAAGTCAGTGTCCTGGTTTCAGGTCCTTCTCTAAGACCTAAGGGTATAATCTCAGCTGGCATTCCACTGAACATAGTGAAGCCTTAGAGGGATTATAAACAAGGATGAGGATTTTAGAGTTAGGTTTATTGTCAAGTTACACAAGAACAGGAGTTCAGCGTAAAGTATGCAATGTCGCCGACACACAGCCCCACCTTAGGTACAAAGTAACTAGTTACAAATCTTAGGTACAATAAAAAGAGAAAATAGAAAAAAAAAGTTACACTACATCACAGGCATATACAGTATAAGTTAGGAAAATGATAAATAAGCTAAAAGGATAGACATTCCAGTCCTTCTGTAAGGGATTTTAAAATTAAGGCAATGATTACTTGAGCAGGAAAGGAAAGGAGGGAGGGATGGAAGGACAGACAAAGGAAAGAAGATAAGTAAAAGTAAGGAGGGCAAGAAAGAAGCAGCAAAAGAAAGACTGAACCAGCCTTCTGGTGCTTACCAAGACACCGCAGAGTACTTGTACAGTAACTGAAGTGTTCCTGAAGTATAGTGACTGCTTTAATGAACATGTTGGTGAAGGCTAATAATGCATTTCCATTTCCTATCATAAGTATTGCATACTGTGAAGGTGACAAAACTTCCAATGGACTGTAACAAAGAGCTGAGAATTTGAAGGCAGGTTAAATCACAGCAGTGACGAAGCATCCAGCTTTCATTCATCTCAAAGAGATCAACTGGTGCTTTACCTGCACTGAGGCACTCGGGAAATGCGAATAAAAGCACCATGAGATGTTAAACTAAGGTCAAGGATTAATTTAAATGATCCCAAAGCATGATTCAAAGAACAGCAATGTTTTATTTTCCCATAGGGTCCACTCTTGGACAACATTCCTTCTCAACCAAAACCAAAGAAATCATATCATTGTTTATTTATCCAGTTGCTGTTTGTGCTGTACCTCTGTAATGCCTTTTTAATAACAGTAACTATAGTTGATTGTCCATGAAGTCATTGGTTCATCCTGCGGTAGTAAAGCTCTCTATGCATGCAGTCCCTTCATTTCATTTTATTCATGTAGCCTACACACAGCTCTGTCAGGGATCTGCACTTTGTGATTTTAAAGCAAATCAATCTCTGCATCGAAGTCACAGCGATACTAAGCGTAGTGCAATGTTGCTGTCTAAAGATATGATGATGATGCAGAGGTGGTGGTGTTGGACAAGGTCAGAAATCACGCGACACCAGGTTATAGTCCCACAGGTTTATTTGACAACACAGGCTTTCAGAGCCTCAGTCCTTCTTCAGGTGTCAGTGAGAGAGGTAGTATCAGACAAAGAATTTATGGGAAAAAGATCAAAGGTTCATACCATTGATAAGGAGGTACTAAACAAACTGAAGATGCTGTTAAATCTTTAATCAGTTAGAAGGTTTTAACTGTATATGTATATGATTATAAATCCCTGAATTCCTCTAAAGTCACATTCCTGAGAGAACTAAAGGTTTTATCAATGTAAAGATGAGGTGACATTTTAAGTCAGATAATGCATGTTAGGTGTCAGAATCTGTTTGTGTTTTAGTTAGGAGTCAGACTGGTTTTATTTGTAAAGTAGGAATTTAAAGAATACCAAACTGAATGACTGTCGATAAATTGTGTGCTTTTTGAACAAAATAAAATGTATCTGCAAATATAGATTCATCCCATAGATTTGTTTGTGTGTGTGTGTGTGTGTGTGTGTG